TGTTTAGTTTTTGTCTTTGTATTCCCAATCCCAAGTGCAGTGTTTTTCGTAGTAAGCGCTTGACAAATTTTCCTTTGAATTGAACTGTGAAGGAGAAGAAAGACTTGAAGAAGAGGAAGGAAGAAAGTCGAAGAAGGAGAAGGTAGCTAGTATGACAAGGTAGCTAGTATGACAAAGTAAACACAAATTGATAAGAAAAGGTGAGAGGTTTATAAGAGAAGATAAAAGCAAGTCGGGTGTGGCTGTCAAGAAGCTAACTAGGTGAGGAGAGGGACCATACCAGTTCTACTATTAGCAAGAAAGATGAAAGACTGAGTAATTCACTTCCAGCAAGTATGGAGAGCAGGGAGAACTCTATAATAGCCAGCAAAGAGAGTACAATGTTAGTATTTCTGCCTCCCAGCTAACTGATGGCTGTGTTCAGGTGTAGAGTGGTCTTCCTCCTAAAAGAGGGTAAAGAGGCTTAAATCCTTTCCACTGGCCAGGTTATTGATGAGAATTGCAGATTCCTTCAAAAAATATCAGAATGATTTTGATGTTGTCTCCAGGATCAAATATAAAATGCTGACTTTTAAAGCTCTTCATAACCTAGACCTGTCCTAACTTTCCATTCTTTTTACTCTTTATCCCTCCTCCACATGCTTTATGATCTTGTAGCACTGGCCTCTTTGCTGTTCCTCCCACGAGACCCTCCATTTCCCACCTCCCTGCATGTTCATTGGCTGTTCCCTCATACCTGGAATTCTCTTCCTCCTCACCCGGACCTCATGGCTTCCTTCAAGTCAGCTAAAATTTCACCTTCTGCAAGATATTTTTCAAGTTCTTCTTAATTTTAGTGCTTTCCCTGTTTTATCCTGTATATGTCTTGTTTGTATAGGATGTTGTCTCCCCCCATTAGGTTTTGAATTCTTTGAGCTCAGGAACTATTTTTGTCTTTTTTGCAACCTCAGTGCTTAGCGTGGTGCCTGGCACATAGAAGTGCACGTTGATGTTGACTTGGAAAACAAAGAAGGAGAAAGCTCTGAAGAGACAGAAGAAAATCCTGATGTGTTACGAGGTTGTTAAAACAATGGGTGATAGATTGAGGGGAGGCTAGGGTTTAAGAGATTTAAGGATGGGGAGACAGGTATATTTAAAGGCAGCAGAGAAGGAACTAGTAAATAAGTAGAGGTTGAAGATTAGAGATGATTTGGATTGGAACATGATAGAGAAGATTTCAGGGGAGCAAAAACACACATAGAAGGGTTGACCTTGGTAAGGAGAGCCCTCTTATTGTAAGCCAGAAGAGAATAAGCATTTATATACTGTCCACTGCGTGTCAGACACTGTGCTAACTGCCTTGCAAATATTGATCAAATACCATTTGATCCTCACAGCAACCCTAGGCAGAAGTTTTGTTATTGTCCTCGTTTTATAGGTGAGGAAACTGAGGCAAACAGGTGCCTTTTCCTTGGTCATGCAGCTAATAAATGTTGATGCTGGATGTGAATCAGGTCTCTCTGATTTGAGGCCCAGCTCCCTATTTTCTGTGGCACCTCTCTACCTTGAGAGGAGAGAGCGGGGAATGATGTCAAGAGGTTTGAAGTGAAGAGTCTAGCATGAAAGGAAGTTCTCAGATAATGACTTCAATTTTTTCAATAAAGTAAGATCCTCAGCTGAGTGGGAGGAAGGAAAAGTGGGGCAGGGCTTGAGAGGTTTGAAACAGCTTCTAGCAGAGTGGGAGAGGGATTCAATTAGGAATCATAATGACTAGTATTGACATACAGCTTTTGAGGTTTACAGAATGCCTTTTCTAAATCTCATTTCATCCGTACAACCTTATAGTGTAGGTGCCCTTAGCATTGCTATTTTACAGGTGAGGAAACTGAGGCTGGGAGAGGTTAAGGGAATTAATTGCCTAGGCCAGGGTAGAGGAACCTGTGGCCTTGAGGACATGTGCAGCCCTCTAGGTCCTCAAGGGTAGCAAAAAAAAGTTCTCCTAAAGGGCTGCACTTGAGGACCTAGAGGGCCACATGTGGCCTTGAGGCTGCACGTTCCCCAGCCCTGGCCTAGGGTCTCATAGATAGTAAGTATCTGAGACAAGATTTCCACTCAGGTCCTCCTATCTTAAAGTCTCAGGCTTTTATCAACTGCACCACCTACTTCCCCTAGTAAAAGGATTTCCTTGCTGAAATGAGGGCCTGTTTAAGTTTGCTAGCATGAATTTATAAGGTACAGAGTCACTACAATCGTGTGACTTCCTCCCACTCCATTTCATAATACAGCTGGTCAAATAATAGCACAAAAATTCTTCAAAGTCTAATTTGTACTTTCTTCTTTTGATACTATGTGCACACAGTTTTGGTTTCCTGTCTAGATTAACTTGAGTTTGGAGTGTACTGTCTTCTTTGTCCAGTATTTTTACTATCCTAGTTTGGTCTGTATTAGGCTCACATTAAAACTAGTTTCTATTCCTGGAAAACACAATAGTTCCAGGAAGAGATGGAAGGTCACTCAGAGGCATGTAAGCTATCAACGGAAACTAGCATAAGAACTAAAATTTGCTTCAAATAAATTGTAGATAATCAACATTGTCTCTATTTGTTGTTTCTTTTCAGAATAATAAGCCTCCCTATGAAAATTCCTTTCCTTTCGCTACAATGAGCTTATTAAAATGACTTCACAAGCAACAAGTCAAAGGACCCTTTACAGCTTAATCCAAGCTGGGAAAGGTTGTTTGGGGGCAAAACATGCCTAGGAAGGTTTTTACTTGACACCTTTTCCCCAAATCTGTAGACGGAGTCCCTGACAGGAGTCTGAGGATCTGTGACTCCCCTTTATCCCTAAACACTTGGCTCATAGGTCATTCCCACTGAATTCCAAAGCCAGTGCTGGCTAAACAAGCAGAGGGCTTCATTTTCAAGGTGAAACTTACCTACCTGTTATATGCATTCTTCTTACTGACCTCTGTACAAAGAACAGCAGAAGTGGGGGGCCATGGGTGTGGAACACGGCAAATAACAATACGCTTTTTTGATAGGATGGACTAGGTTTTTTTTTTAACCTATTTTTCCTTTCTTTTTTACATTCTTTATTATGAGGGATGGCTTTCTGAGAGGCAGTAGGAGTACAGCAGTGGGGAATATAGATATGTGAAAACAAAATATCAATGAAGATTTATCTTTTAAAAGAGCAAGAGTGCACAGAACGTTGAAACAGCACTACTTAATGGTATCACAGTTCTTCCTTTGAGCAAATACATACAGTTTCACAGGATCACAGACCTAGAGCTGATGGGGCCCTATAGGGCCTCCCCACCATTTTAAAGATCAGGAAACTGAGGCAAAGATGAGTGAAGTCACTTGTGCAAATAACTGCTTTATCATGTTTTGGTACCGCAAGAAATAGATTTTTTGAAAGTGTTTTCATTTTTACTGTACAAACCTGATCCATCTAGGAAAATTGAAAGTCTTTTGATTATTTTGTTGTTGTTCAGTTATTTCAGTTGTGTCCAACACTGTGACCCCACTTGGGGTTTTCTTAGCCAAATATGCTGGAGTGGTTTGTCATTTCCTTCTCCTGCTCATTTTATAGATGAGGAACTGAGGGCAAACAGGGCTAAGTGACTTCCCCAGGGTCACACAGCTATTACATGCCTGAGGCCACATTTGAACTCAGGTTTTCTTGATTTCAGGTCCAGAGCTCTATTTACTGTACCACCTAGCTTGCCCTTTCATTATTAATTGTTGTTCAGTTGTTTTTGGTTGTATCTGACTCTGTGACCTCATTTTGGCATTTTCTTGGCAAAGATGTTGGAGTGGTTTGCCATTTCCTTCTCCAACTCATTTTACAGATGAAGAAAATAAGGCAAACAGGGTTATGAGACTTGCTCAAGGTCACACAGCTAGTTAAGTGTCTGAGTCCAAATTTGAACTCAGGAAGATGTATGTCTTTCTGATTCGAAGCCCAGTGTTCCATCCACTGCGCCACCTACCTGCCCATTTTGATTATTTAGGTCCTCTTTTTCTTTCTTTTTTTTTGGGGGGGGGAAAGGGGGAGCACTCTAATTTTATAATTGTGTTCAAACAGGTCCTATATATTCCTAGGTAGGCGCATTTCTTGATCTAGTAGTGCTAACTACAGTTCTCTTCCTAATTGTTTTAGAATTTGAGTTTTCCTAAATTGTTTGCCATTAGATTTCCGAGGAGTTAAGCTCTGTGTGACCGTCTATAATAAGCAATAATAATTTAGTCAATATTTTGCAATCACATTGAAAAACAATGGAATTCCTTTAGTACTTTTAGTACTAAATCAAAGCCCAGATAAGATTTAATTGAGCAGTAAACTTGAAATTAAGTTCCATTACTCCCTTGGATACATTGGCTAGCTGATAATAGCTAGCATTTATATAATGCTTTTAGGTTTGTGAAGCTTTTTATAAATATTATCTCATTTTTATCCTTACAACAATCCTGTGAAATTATGCTATTATCATCCTCATTTTAGAAATGAGTAAACAGAGGCAGACAGTGGTTAAGTGACTTGCCCAGAGTCAGACAGCTAATAAGTGTCTGAGGCCACATTTGAACTCAGAGCTCTTCCTGACTCTAGGTAGGTCCAGCCCTGTCTTCACTACACCACCTAGGTGATACAATTAGGTATGGTCATTTCTTAATTATGCAAATGAACTTGAACTGCATGCCCCCCTCCATTCTCTCCCCTCCCCAGCAAACTGGCTATCTTACTTAGGTGTTGGTTAGGTGGACATTAAATTAATTTCTATTCCTGTAAAAGATGATAAAATACCAGGAAGAGAAAAAGAAAGGTCATTCGGAAGCATATAAGCTATCAATGGAGGCCAAGATAAGACTAAAATTGGCTTCAAATAAACCACAAGGCAGATAACTGAAATTTGGCTATAATCTGCTTGTTTGATAAGGTCTTTTCTGAGTAAGCTTCCCTAAGAAAAATCTTTTCCTTGTACTACAGAATGCTGTTAAAATGACTTTACAAACAAAGGATGTAATTAAGTAACATTTATTTTACATAGAACAATCTCTCAGGAATACATTTTAATCCATTTAGATACTGATTTTATTGCATTACAAAAAAAAAAAGAAATTGAGAGGCACAATTTAAGTGTTTGAATAAACTGGGAAAAAAAACACCCTACTGATTGCTATCCACATTGCTTCTTTGCCACTTAAATTAAAGGCTTCGAGTAGAAAGGCTTTGACCATGAGGCAGTAGTGCACTTTTATTTAGTAGGAATAAATCACAGAAAATATATACTTTTATACAGAAAATGTTATTGTGTTGTATTGTAATTACCTATAAAAACTTTATTTGAATTGCACAAAAGTTCACTTTATAATTGACACCTCCCAGAAGGCAGGGTTTAGTACTAAGTTTATTCATCTAAGTGATTCCTTACAAATAATTAGGCTTTCATTTCTTCACAGATTAAAAAAAAAATCTACGAAGAATTCTAGTATGCAAATGAAACATTTAAAAAATCCTCATAGGAAAATAGCTTTAGACATTTATTCAACTACTTTAAAACGAAATATAGTACTTGAAAATGCTGTGAAACAGAAGGGTTTCACATTGGAATCCCTACACCACGGTATGATCTGGAAAGGTTTACATTAATTCATATTGTGTAGCATTTTACTGTAATAGCAGATCATCAACAAGGCACATGGGTACATTCTTCTGAACAGTTTTGGTCTTTGAAAAAAAAAATCAAACATTTCCATGAGCAGTGACTGCAATCATATTTCAAAACAAAAATCCTGAACAAATGCATTTCTCAATCCATTGGATGCAGAGTCCATGATATAGCATTTTATTTTACATAGAATTTCCTGTTCAGCAGGAATATAAGAAGGTTTACATTCACTTTAGCCCTATCAAACATTTTCATTACAGCTACTCCTTCATACTGCATCTGAAGCAAATCCTGCAATCAGAAGGAAAATGATTAAATTGCAACTTTGGTATTTTAAACATTTTTCTAAACGTGCACAAAGAACTGGATAGGACGGTAAATCAAACTCACCTGGCCAGTATGATACTAACAGACTTGACTTATATGAAAGAAAGCAACTCTCTTGACTTTATTTTTTTAAAATCTAATGTTTTATTAACATTTTAATGTCAAAATAGATACAAGCAACTAAACTTACATAATAACTATTTACATTTAAATTAACTTTAATGAATAAAGCATCAAAATTTTTCAGCTGCTTCTAAGTACCCATCAGATTTCCTTGCCTGTTCATTGCTGTTTATCTTTCTTCAAATACTTATAATCAGTACACAGAATATTCTATTCTTCTGCTCCTGCTTTTTTTCCCTTTGCATTATTTTGTTAAGGTTTTTCCAGATTTGTTCATATCCCCCACATATGTCAAAAGTAATGGGATTATGGAATACAATTTACATTACATTTGTGCTTCCCAACTTATTTAACCATTTCCCTAATGTTGGACATTTAGGATACTCCTAGTTTTGTTTTGTTTTTTTGAGGGGGGGAGTGGGGTGGGGTGGGGAGGGCAGGGATCAATTACATATAAGATTGCTATGAAAATCTCTGAACAGGTAGCTCTTTCTTTTTCCACCTCTGATAACACATTCAGGATATACTTCCAACAATGGAATTATTACAAATTACAATAATGTAATTATAATAATTTTTTACCTCTTACTATGTGCATTTGCCAAACTGCTTGTCAAAATAAATTTAAAAATAAATGCTTCAGGTCTGCTATTCAACCAGCAATGTTTGAATGTGACTGCTTCTCCATTATGGTAGGAGTGTTGTTTTCAATCATTTTGCCATGGGTTGAGATGGTGTACACACTTCTAGGTTGATTTTAATTTTTAGCTAAATAATCAGGGCTAATAATAATAAAAGAATTACTAAGAGAGTGAATTTCTTTTTTTTTTTGGACTAGGCCTTCACCATTAGCTTCATTAGTGGAGTTCATTTCTTGAATTACTTTAGACTGATGACTATGTCAAATGTACCATTTTCTAACTTTTAAACCTCAGCTCTTCAGGAGGACTTCTAATCTTGTACCTACTTCCTTATCCCCTACATATGCCCTATCCCCTCAAAGTCACTTGTAAAAAGGTTCAGTTTGCTCTAATGGAGTTGGGGAGAATGTTCTAAATCTCACTTGATTAACTTTTTGTGCATACAATTCCAATCCTAAACTACTTAGATATGCTTCTAGTTTCAGAATCTTTGAATGTATTAATTCCATAAGCAACTAATATCTTTCTACATTTACCACTATAATCACTCCTCAGTTGGGTATGTAGACTAGGAAAACAAAGAAAGAAATCACTTTAATTACTGCCTTGCTAAACCTGGTATCTGTCTATATCTATTCATCTTCCTTAAAAAGACAAATAGTACATTATAGAAATTCATTTTCTTATATGTGCCTCTAATATTGAAATGTTTGTGTTATTGATGTTTAGGTTCACAATAAAAATAAAAATTTAACAATTTAATGAAAGAAGAAAAAAAAGACCTTCATAAAAAGTCATTAATAAAATGTATTCTTTTTTAAAATAAAATAAACCATCTTAGGCAGGTTAAAGGAAAGAGTAGGGATTTAACATACTTTGGTGGTATGATGGGTTTTTTTTTTCCACACTGGCTTATAAGGTTCTCATTTGGATCTGATAAACTCTTGGTTGTCCCTCCTCAACCACTACCTTGTCATGGGCTTGTGTAGCTTATCGAAACTATGAGCTATGCCATGCAGGGTTACCCAAGATGGACAGGACATAGTGGAGAGTTCACTGGAGATAGTGATTCACTGGAGCAGCAAATGGCAAACCACTCTAGTATCTTTGCCAAGAAAACCCCATGGACAGTATTAACATGATAAAATATATGATACCAGAAGACGAGCCCCTCAGGTTAGTGTCCAAAATGCTACTGAGGACAAATATTAATGAGGAGGCTGAGCCAAAGTCAAAGGAAGCTCAGCTGCAGATGTCTGGTGATGAAAGGAAAGTCCAATGCTGTAAAGATCAATATTGCATAGGAATCTGGAATGTAAGATCTATGAAGCAAGGTAAGCTGGACATGGTCAAACAGAAGATGGAAAAATTAAACATCTTGGGTGTCAGTGAACTTAAATGAATGGGAATGGGTGAATTAAATTCAAGTGATCACTACATATATTACTGTGGGCAAGAATCCCTTAGAAGAAATAGAGAAGGCCTCATAGTCAACAGAAAGGTGAGAAAAGCAGTACTAGGGTACAATCTCAAAAATGACAGAATGATATCTGTTTGAATCCAAGGCAAACCTTCACCATCACAGTAATACAAGTCTATGCTCCAACCACTGATGCCAAAGAGGACAAAGCTGATCAATTCTATGAACACCAACAACACCTTCTAGAAATAATACCAAGAAAAAAAAAAAGATTTCACATTCATCATAGGGGACTGGAATGCTAAAGCAGGAAATCAAAACATAATTGGAATAACAAGAAAGTTTGATCTTAGAGTACAAAATGATGCAGGGCAGAGACTAATAGAGTTTTGTCTTGATAACTCACTGATCATGGTAAACGCTCTTTTTCAACAAGGCAAAAGGTGACTCTACACATGGACATCTCCAGACAGTCAATATCAAAATCAGATTTATTATATACTTTGCAGCCAAAGGTGGAGAAGCAAAGTTAAAACAAGACCTGGAGTTAACTGTGGCTCAAATAATGAGCTTCTTATTGAAAAATTCAGATTTAAGAAAGTAGAGAAAACCATAATTTTGTCTAGATATGACCTAAATAATGTCCCTTATGGATAGAAGTAGAAGTGATGACTAGATTCAAGGGATTAGACTTAGTAGGTAGAGTGCCTGAAGATCTATGGACAGAGGTTTGAAATACTATACAGGAAGCAGCAATAAAAAAAAAATCCCAAAGAAAAAGAAGAGCAAGAAAGAAAAATGGCTGTCTGATGCAGCTTTACAAATAGCTAAGGGAAGAAGGAAAGCAAAAGGTAAAGGAGAAAAGGAAAGCTATACCCAACTGAATGCAGAATTCCAGAGAACAACAAGGCAAGATAAGGTTTTCTTAAAAATTAAACAATAGAATGGGAAAGATACCAAGGGAACATTTCTTGCAAAAATGGGCCTGATAAAAGATAAAAATGGTAGGGATTTAGCAGAAGCAAAAGAGACTGAGAAGAGGTGGCAAGAATATACAGATGTATACAAGCAAGTTCTTAACATCATTAATAATTATGATGGTGTGGTTACTGATCAAGAGCCAGACATGCTGCAGAATGAAGTCAAGTGGGCCTTAGGAAGCATTGATACTGATAAGACTAGTGGAGGTGATGCAATTCCAGCTAAGCTATTTAAAATCCTAAAAGATGATGCTGTAAAGTGTTGTACTCAATATCTAACAAATTTGAAAAACTCGACAGTGGACGTTGGATTGGAAAAGATCACTTTATGTCCCAATCCTAAAGAAGGGGAATGCCAACAAATGTTCAAATTACCAAACACTTATGTTGATTTTACACATTGGCAACATTATGTTTAAGATTCTGCAAGCTAGGCTTCAGCAGTATATGAACCAAGAATTACCAGAAGTGTAGGCTGTTTTTGAAGAGGCACAGGAATTAGAGACCAAGTTGCCACATTCACTGGATTATGGAGAAAACAAGGGAGTTCCAGAAAAAAAAATCTACTTCTGTTTCATTGACTACACTAAAGCTTCTGACCATGTGAATCTCAACAAAATGTGTCCAGTCCTCAAAGAGGTGGGAGTGCCAGATCATCTTACGTGACTCCTGAGGAACCTATATGTGACTCAAGAAGCAAGAAGTAGAACCGAACATGTAACAATTGAATTGGTTTAAGATCAGAAAGGAGTATGACAAGGCTGTATATTTAACTTATATGCAGGGTGCATCATATGAAATGCCTGGCTGGATGAAGCAAAAGTTAGCATTAGGGTTGCCTGGAGAAATATCAGCAATTTCAGATAGGCAGATGGTATGATGCTGATGGCAGGAAGTGAAGAAGAATTAAGAAGCCTATTGATGAGGGTTAAAGAGGAAAGTGTAAAAATTGACTCAAAGCTTAACATCAAAAAAACTAAGATCATGGCAATTGGTCCCATCACTTCCTGGCAAACAGAGGTAGAAGAAATGGAAGCAGTGTCAGATTTTGTATTCTTGCGCTCAAAGATCACTGTAGACAGCGACTGAAGCCATGAAATTAAAAGATGTTTGCTCCTTGGAAGGAAAACTATAGCAAATCTGGATAGCATACTAAAAAGCAGAGACGTCACCTTGCTGACAAAGGTTTACATAGTCAAAGCTATGGTGTTTCCAATAGAAATGTATGGCTGCGAGAATTGGATTTTAAGGAAAGCTGAGTGCCACAGAATCAATGTTTTTGAATTGTTGTGCTGGAGAAGACTTTTGAGAGTCCCTTGGACAACAAGGATATCAAAATAGTCAATACTTAGAGAAATTAATTCAGACTGTTTATTGGAAGGTCAAATACTGAAGCTGAAGTTTAAATACTTTGGCCACATAATGAGAAGACAGGATTCATTGGGAAAGACCCTGATGTTGGGAAAGATTGAAAGCAAAAGGGGAAGGAGATGACAGAGGACAAGATGGATAGACAGTGTCATGGAGGCAACAAACATGAAGTTGGACAGACTTTGGGAGATGGTGGAGGACAGAAGTGCCTGGCGTGCTCTGATTCATGGAGTCACGAAGAGTCAGACATGAATGAACAACAACCACTCTTGGTTTAGTATAGAATTGGCCTGAATGGGGTGAACTTTGCTCCTTTGGTCTGTAAGCAATTTGAGGTCAGGGAGAGTTTCATTTTTTATTCTAAATCCCTGGCTCCTAGCACAGTGCCTCATAGGTGCTTAACAAATGCTGATTGACTGATTCTTATGTAACATTTTCTATTTGCCCTCTAGGGTGACTGAGGTATTTAGCCCATGAACAACTTTATAGCAACTCTCCCTCTTTTTTTTTTTTTTTGGTTAGGCAATGGGGTTAAGTGACTTACCCAGGGTCACACAGCTAGTAAGTGTCTGAGGTTGGATTTGAACTCAGGTCCTCCTGACTCCTAGGCTACAGCTCTATCCACTGTGCCACCTAGCTGCCCAAGGTTAGGCTTAATTTTTTTTTTAATTTGCTTGGCAATGGAGTTAAGTGACTTGCCCAGGGTCACACAGCTAGTAAGTATTATGTGTCTAAGGCTGGATTTGAACTCAGGTCCTCCTGAATCCAAGGCCGGTGCTCTATCCACTGCGCCACCTAGCTGCCCTAACAACTTTATATCTAACAAGAATCCATCAGAGTTTTCTGAGTGACATGCCCTCATGTACTTTAAGTAGGGCTTTTTGAGAAGAAGGGAAGGATAAAGAAGGGGACTAAGATGAGTAGTTAAGAAGGAAACATCCAATTTAAGTTCTGAAAGGAAACTTCCTTTGATAACTAAGCAATTATCTCATCTCTGGCTTCTAATCTTTGCCCTGGCTCAAGATCAGAAATAGAATCTCTCTCTCTCTTTCATACTCATATCCACCTACAGCTAGAGGGGACTTTGGAGATTATTGAATACAATACCCTTATTTTACTGATAAAGACATTCAATATCATATTGCTAGTCAGTGCTAGAACTGGGATAACTGGTGTCTCCTGACATCTAGTTCAGCTCTGTTCATTATGCCACTATATTTTCCAAACCAAATCTTCCTTCAGCAATTCACTGCCAATGTGACTATTCAGTAGAGCCTACAATATGTTTACAAATGGAAAAGTGGTTTTGACTGCTGATGGCTTTTTTATATTCACGCATTCATGCTTGTACACAAACACCTGTATGCCCTAAACTTCCGGGGTCTAGGTTTAACAAAATGGTACAATGGAATAGGTAATCCTATCACAAATAGCAAACTCTTCAAAAATATAAAGCCAAGCTTGGTTTACATTTCAACACTATGTAATTTTAAAGGAAGTGGCATTAAATTTACTGTGACCTCACTGAAAGAAAACAAGACCATCTCCTCCTAGATACTTATCATTCACCTGCAACTGAATTCAGTATCCAGAAGCATAATCCTTGGAAATCACATGACTATCTATCCCTCACTAAATCACTACTCCCCACAAGTCACAAACCACAACAGGTTTTTTTTTTCATGTTTGCCAGCATTTTACCCAAGTGTTAGCCTAGGTGTGACTGACTATAAACAAATTAAGGTTAAGAGGCTTCACAAATGAATTATCATAAGTAGCTAGAGCTAATAATTGTATTAGATAAGACTAGTACAATGTAATGTATTTAAGCATTAATCCTGAGTGCTAAAATTTTTGTTATTGCCTAATTTCTTTTTATTTTCTTTTTTCTTTTTGGTGAGGCAATTAGGGTTAAGTGACTTGCTCAGGGTCACACAGCTAGTAAGTGTGAAGTGTCTGAGGCTGGATTTGAAGTCAGGTCCTCCTGACTCCAAGGCCAGAGCTCTATCCATTGTGCCACCCAGCTGCCCCTATTGCCTAATTTCTTATGCATTTTGTAATAGCCTGGATACCAGGCCAGTTATATGTTCTTCTTATTCAGAGCTCTTTAAACCCTCACAAAAAATCTGATAGTGATTTGACCAAAGAGACATGACATAGCTAGTAAGTAGAAGATCTGGGATTTGGACCTAGGCCCCCACCAATTTAAAATCTAGTGATCCTTCAAGGACATTATACTTCAGCCTCAGGTAGTATAGAAAAAGGATGTCTTACCTGAATATCAAGGTGAACCTTTTCCATCTCAACACCTCGGAATTTTGCTCTGACTTCGAAGTTACCCACTTCTTCAGTAGGTATGATGTCAAACATAACATTCTTAAACCTTGAAAGAAAAGCATTCATAACATATGGCATCATAGATATAGCCACAAACCCAAATGTCATGAGACAATATGAATACCACTTGTTGCACTGTGCTATAAGTGAATTGTATGCTTGCATAGGCTAACACACAGGTGCAGCAAATGATGGTAGCACTGAGAGCCTAAGTCCTGAAGAGAGAGAGGTGGGTGTTTGTGTCTAATGGGAGCCATCTCTAGATTTGCAGTTTCATGTGCAATCATCTGTTTTTATTATACTATGTTTCAGAAATGCTTGTTTTATTCCATAAAATAAAAATAAAATAAATGTGGGGGAAAAAAAGAGAGAGAAAGAGAAATATGTGGGGAATAAATTGTGGCAGTCCTTCTGGGGCAAGATGAAGCAGATGAAGAACCAACAGGCAGAGACAGGCAGAGATGGGCAGAGTAAGTTAAGTATGGAGATTGCCACATGGAAAGGCAAAGCAGCAGAGTGATCCACTTCTTCAAGGAGACAGTGAGTAGACTCATGTAACCTAAGCGGAGACTCTGTGCAGGGAAGTGAAGTCAACCAATGAACACCAAAGAGTGCAGCACCTACATTACACAAGGGCCTCAGGGAGATTCAAAGATGATTAAGACATAGTCCTTGTTTCTAATCTAGTTGGGGAGATAAGACATACAAATAAAATGCTAACCAACCATTCGAAGCATAAGATGTAAGAAGTGCCAACTGAAGGTCACTGAAAGCAAAGAACACAGGAAATTAGAAGAGGGCCACTTCTAGGAGAAGAGGATGCTCAGAAGTGAGATTTGAGCTGGGCCTTGAAGGACCGAGTGGGATTTAGACCAGCAGGGAGGAGGGAGAGAAAGAGAGACAACAAGGACAATGGAATAGAGATGAGAAAACCCAGGCATGCTAAGTGTTAGTTCAGTTTAGCAGCAGTAGATGATTTTGCAAGGTGAGTAGGTAGAGATAAGAGGCTAAAAATTTAGGCTGGGTTCAGATAGTGAAAGCCACTGAATGCTAGGCTAAGAAATGTGGATTATACCCTAGCAGGCAATGAGGAGTCATGGACTCATAACATTTCTCCTCAAAGGCAGCAGATGCTTTTAAGGGGCCTTTATGGAAGCAGTGAAGGGGTAACTGGCTGCCCTGCAGGGGTACAGTAATACTCACTGATTGGTCTGAAGGTCTTCAATCTCCAGCAGGACGCCCTTATCATGGAGCTTGGCTGCGGTGTACTTCACTGGTTTTGCCTTCTTGTATCTACTTTCTTCTTCTTTTCCAGATAATTTAATTGACCTCCTTGTGTTTCTGATAAGAGAGAAAGACTTTCATCACTCTATCAAAAAGATTTTTCTAATGGCAGGCTAATCTGAAATATATAATGTATTAAATGCATTTATTTCCTGCCTTTGCTGCATTCAAAATACATTTCCCCCCAATACAATGGAAAAATTTTCAACACAATAACATTTAAAAAAAATTGATTATCAACCAACATGAACATTTCAGTTTGCTGAGAATAAGAAAGAAGATTGTATGTGGAACCATGAACTTCTGTCCTGCATGTAGTATTTTAAAATAACGTATGAAATTTAATACAGTAGCAACAAAATTATCTTATTTGCATTCTCATTCTGAACTGTTTTGTTTTCTTCTGTGTATTTTAAAATATTTTAATTGATATTCTTTTTTCTTTTATACTTGGCATCTCTGCCACTATCCTCTATAGTCTAGACTGAGGAAGCTAGAGATGGTGCTGTGGATAGAAAAAAGACTTGACTTGTAATCAGAAGACCCGAGTTCAAATTTGGCCTCAGTCACTACTTGTGTGATTCTAGGCAAATCCTTTAACCTTTGCCTCAGTTTCCTCACTTGTAAAGCAGGGATAATAATAGCCCCTATCCCACAGGATTGTTATGAAGACCAAGTGAGCTAACATATGTAAAGCTTTTTGTAAGCCAAATGCTAGCTATTTATTATCATTATTATTATTGTTATTAAGCACATGTTAATATTACTACACTACTATCAATAAGCCTGCAATTTATATATTAACAGAAAAAATGAACTTTTTGTTAAAAGCTCCTCGACTCATGAATTTTTAGAAATGATTCTTCTGCAGTAGCTTAATGGGGTATTTAGAGTCAGGAATATCCCTCTTCCTGAGTTCAAATCCAGCCTTAGATGCTTACTAGCTGTGTCACCCTGGGCAAGTCACTTAACCTTGTTTGCCTCAGTTTCCTCATGTGTAAAATAAGCTGGAGAAGGAAATGGCAAACTATTCCAGTATCTTTGCCAAGAAAACTCCAAATGGGGTCATGAAGAGTCAGACACAACTGAAATGACTGAACAACAAAAATTGATACATGAATGTGTTTTACAAGGAATGCTATGACATCTAGTAGCTGTATCTCTTGATAACAAAAGTATGAAGTACACAATTCTGACAGTAATCTTTTACTCAGTGAATATAGAAATCCTATATTCTTATAACCTCTCCATGAATTAGTACTCAAATTAGTACAAGTGGGTAGGAACTTATAAAGCTTATATATAAAACATATATAAACCTTATAAAGCTGATACAGAAAATAACATTTCAAAATCTACTTGTGACAGAATAGGTGATGTTGGTTTACTTTTTTAAATACTCAGTTTACTTGCAACCCAAACCAAACAGATTCAAACCACAGGCATCTCTGGTTCTCCTCATGAATGTAAGAAAGGTTTCGTGAGACAGATGATATGAACTTACTTTCTTGTTAAGTTGTCTAAACAAGTCTTTATGTAGGTGTCATAATAATTACTTTGATCTTCAAAAAATGCTGACTTGGAATTAAGTGCATTCAGGGTCTGCTGGAGTTTCACCAACTCAGCTCTCCGATTTTGACGGTACAGTCTTTGATTCAGGATATCCTGAGGATAAATATGAGTCCATTACATAGGATTAATGCAGAAACATCACTTTGAAACTTGTTTTAAAGCACTCATAATTTGGGATTGAAATACAGTTTCATCAGCTAATTTCTCTTATTTAAACTCTGTGTGTGTGAAATCTGCAGTTTTCTACAGAAAGTCATTATTTCCATTTCTCACCTGCAAAAAAAATTATAAACCATTTTTGATCTCATATAAGAATAGGAAGTTGTTAATTATAAGACACTTGCTAAGGTTAATTTCATCGTAGGATAACCAGTGGCAAGAATTTTAGAATAATTTCATAAATGACTTACGACAAAAATTATTTTTATGAACCCAGTTGCTTACAAGGAAGGACTCTTTGACAGGGAATACATAATTTCTCCAGACTCTTGAACATTCATTACATTTTGTATAAATGCATTTGGACTGATGGGTGGGGTCCACTGATGATCATTTTATTCACTTAACGAAATAAGAACAATTTTATTTTTTGATCTGATAAAACTCCTTTCCCTAAGAGATTTCACAGGAACAGTACCCATGGTATCTCAATGCCAATTAAGGCTTTAAATTGGGACTTCAAAACAAGTCCTGGAGTATGAAAAAGGCTACAGTCTATAACTGATGTGCACTTGTGACTTCTAGAAACCCATCTTCATTCCTTGCAATCTAATGGACAGGATTTGGATGTATTTTGCTTTAAAAAATACTGGTTACCCTTGGCTGCTTCCCCTAGGCACATGGCATCTCTAACTCAAAGAGAAGCAATTCCTCCAGGCTAAATATTGACTTAGGAAACTACAAATTAACATTATCTATGTTACATAGTATTTTTATTTTGTTAATCATTTTCCAATTATGTTTTAATCTAGTTCAGAAGTGTTGTAGTGGCTTGCAGGTAAACACCAATTCGGCTAGACCAATTTTTAAGTCCTCCCATAGAAACTTCTAAATTTAGTTGAAGGCACTCTTCTACCACCTTAAATGAGGCTCCTTCATAACAGAGATCCAGTTAGGGTAAAAGCCTTATGGTAAGTATTAAGAAAAAAAACTGTTTCACCTCATCCCCCTAAAAAAACTCCTTGTTACCTCTCCATGGTAAAGAGGGCCCCCCAACAAGTCATCCCTGGAGCTCAAAGGGAGCAAATCTATAGCCAGAAACACCCAGAGATTTCCACAACAAAATGAAGCTAAGCGTATTTTTTTTCCCTTTATGTGAGAAGCTGTGATTTCTGACCTGTCGACTAACTCATTTTACCTTCTTGGTTGCAGGTAAATTTACAAGGGATGGGGGGAGAATGAAAGGATGAAAGTGCTTCCTTATATAATGTATACTTTCTCTTATCTCTGACATACAGACCACATAGTCACTTCCTATGTTGTTTTTTTCTTTAGTCCCACAATAGTTTGAGACTTTTTGTCAGCAAGATTTGCAAGAGAACTTGCAGAAACTAGCTAGCAGTTCAATTGTAAACTGTTTATGATTGCATTTAGGCCAAAGAATCAGACAAAGATATATTCACGTAATAGAAGTTCATGTAACATTAGCATTTTGATGTCATGTTTAAAGAGCACCTTAAGCATCATGATAACTTTAAAAATCTATAAAGTACTCTTGCCAAAACTCATAGGTGTTTTTTAATGGAGGTGGCTGGTAGCTTTTCAATAAATTTATAGAACATTTATTTTCTCCTAATTTTGGGGAGGGCATCTATAGTTTTGTATATGCTGGCTGGTATCAATATCTGTGTCAAATTGCTATGGATTTTAAGCTTCTATGGAAATCATGGGGTGTGTCTTATATAACTCGGTATCCTTACATTGCAATTAGCCCCAAAACATGCACATACTAGGCTCTCAACCAATTTTTGTTGAATAAATAAGAAAGAATATCATTGCCAAAAACCTTAGCAATCTCATTGACAACTTCTTGGTATTTATTTTCTGATGATACAAGTCCATTCTGTTCCAGTATCCGAAGATTCCTTTGAATTTTCCTCTTCTTCTGTTCCAAAGGTAGCTGGCTATCCTCAAGCATGGACTGGTTGTTTTTCATTTCTTCAGGGGTCTTGGAATCCAAAATTGCCCTATTCTCCATCTCTACGGAATGTTTAAGTTCCTGGGAAACATAAAGATTTTTGTTTTTTCACCCCCTGTTTTATCCCTTTCACAAAAATGTAAATATGAGACTGGGGGCAGGGGGTATGAGGCAGAGACAGAGAGAGAGAGAGAGAGAGAGAGAGAGAGAGAGAGAGAGAGAGAGAGAGAGAGAGAGAGAGCAAGCAATAGAGACAGAGATAGACATAGAAAGAGAGACAGGGAGAATAACAGAGAGAGACAGACAGAGACAGAGGAAGGGTGATATAGAGGGAGGTAGGGAAAGAAGGAAGGGAGGAAGAAAGGGAGGAAAGAAGAAAGGAAAGAAGGAAGGAAGAAAGGGAGAAAATAAAGAAGAAAGGAAGGGAGGAAATGAAAAATGAAAAGTGAGCAACAGGCATTTAAATTAGTAAGGACCATGCCAGAAAAATCTAAAAAGTGCTCCTTTTGACAGAAAAAAAAAACCAAACCCAGGAGAATAAATCTACTCAATTGAAGTAGGCCTTTACAAAGAAATAATTTTATGTCTTTAAATATCTGTGTGTTTCATATAAAATGTAGATGCATATCAGCAAAGCCTCTTTTTATCAAGATCAGTCAGAAAAAGTGTTAAATGGCTTCTCCCACTACCAAAGCCAAAACTATTTTTATTTGGATATGTTCTTACTCTCTCAAACACATAGTCTTTTCCAGAAATGACATTAGTTGAAACTGAAATAAAATTTGAAAGGCAGTGTGGCTTTATAGAAAATGGGCTCGCTTTAGAGTAGAAAGAAGTGGGTTCAAATCTCAGCTCTGTACCACACTCTGTGTGCCCCTATCACCTCTTTGGATCTCGATTTCTTTATATATAAAATGACAATGTTGGAAAAGATAATGTCTGTGATTCCTTTGAGCTCTGAATCTATGGTTGTTGGGTGAAATATGATTATGGCAGCCCTACGAAGAGAACGCCAAAATAAAGGCTGAAATCCAGCACATGTTGGTGTTTTCTCAGGATTATTATTGGTGGATATAGAGATTCACAGGCCAGTCATGAGTTATCTTTGTGAAAGAAAAGATTTCTGTAGACTCAAATCCTGATAATATCATGGACAAAAGCTGATAAATCTAGAGAGTTTGAGATTTCTAAAAAAAAACCAAAAAGAATGATGATAAATATTTCCTGTTATTTGAATGAGCAAAGTCTTTAATAAAGCTAAGACAGCTGTTGTGCCTCCTCACTGAACTATACCCTACAATGAATTATGGGTGTTACTGGTGGGTTATATTTAATTAACTGATTGTAGATCATTATTAGGTGTACAGTTGACTAGACACCATGATATAAGCAAAACTATTTGCTAGTTTGCCAGCAAACATTTAGGTTGGAAACAACAAAACAGTAAATAAGAGTAACAAAATTGCACAATAAAAGATAAAAACCTCACACTAAAATAATGCAGCTTTCCACCCACAACATATTTTGTTTATGTGGTTTAAGGAGCAGCCAATTAACTCAGAAATTTTGGCTTCTTTACAACAAAAATCCTTACAAAAAGTTTTACTTTGGTGAGTAGGCAAGAGTTAGGGAAGGCTCAGGGAAACTGGGAACAACTCTGCTCAACATAAGAAAGTGAATAGCTTCTATTGAATTTCAGTAATTTTTATCATCACATTATTCCTTACAGCTAAAACAATTTGTGGACATTTTAAACTACAATTTGGATGAAAGTATAAACTTTATCAAGAACAACCAAAACATTCCAAGCTGTTGATAAAAAATTCCATACAGAATGGGACTGTATTTCCATTTAAAATAAATAATATACTCTGGACTCAGTGGTCTTAGAAACTGACTCTCAAATCAACAGAAGAGATTTTGGTTTTATGGAATGAACCTTCAGTTATCAAATGTGCAACATAAGGAAAACTTTGCTTCATTGGGATGCTGCTAACCAGAAATATTAACCAGCATGTGACCAAATCCACAGCTAATGCTCAAAATAATGAATCTAAGGCACTCCGAGTAGATTCAGTATAACTCTGAGACTTTGTTTCTGTGATTGTGTTCAAATTATTTGAAAGGTGCTAGTTGACATGTAGTATGTAGAGCAACCCTCAGCTGACAGGATCATTGATTCAGAACTGGAAAGGACCTTAGTGATCAGCTGACCAAAGTATGACCTTAGACAAGTCACATAACCTGCCTCAGTTTCCTCATCTGCAAAATGAGGATAATCATGACACCTACTCTGAGGGTTGCTGCAAGGCTCAAATGAGATACTATTTATAAAGTACCTTGCAAACCTTAAAATAACAACTAAATGTTAGCTGCTATTATTACGGCTATTCTTCTTCTTATTATTACCGCCATCATGATAGATAAGAGCACACGGCACAGTGCAATCTCCAAAAAACCTCCCAAGCATTTTGTGTGACTGTAAATTCCCTGATATTTTATTGACCACTATCCACACATCCAAAGAACAGTACCTGTTCTGGAGTTGCTGGTGTCTGTAGGATTTCTGCTAGCGAGGTGCCTGTTTGCGTTCGGATTACATCGAGGACCAGCCTTTTGGTCCTTTGTGAAGCGAGAGAAAAAAGTAAAAGTTAGACCAGAGCAACATGGCCCTGCTGTATCTGTCAGGGTCGGTGGGCTTTTTCTGAGACACTTTAGAAACCCATACTCACATGAGACCTCAAAGATAATTTTACTCGTTCTTGTAGAAATTCAATGCATTCTGTTTTAACGCTCCTTAAAGTTTGAGAAAGCTGGCCTGTCCAAGTTTGTCTTTTATAATCCCCTGTGCAATTGAGATTTGATTGTGCTTAAGCAGTGTATTATAAGATATAATATCTATGCTTTTTCTTTGTTTTTGTTTTTGATTTCTTTTGTGTGTGGGCATAAGGAGTAAGTACTGTTACCTAGTTATTGTGCAGAGATATGAGGAGCATTGAGTTTCCTTTTTATGATCTTTAAAAAGAAAGTTATCACCTTCTTTTAGGAGCTAGCTCAACTATAGGCATGAAACACACACACATATATGAGTGTATATGGATGTGTCTGTCTGTTTGTCTATCTATAGTGCATAGCAACTGAGCTGGAAAGGACTTTAGTGGTCAGATGACCAAAGTGTAAGCCTGGGCATATATACACATACATGTATGTATGTATGTATGTATGTATGTATATGTATATATAGATGTATATACATATTTTGTATTATTTATATCTATACTATATATCCATATTTGTACATACATGTATGTGTGTTGTTCAATAATTTCATTTGTGTCCAACTCTTCATGACCCCATTTGGGGTTTTCTTGATAAAGAAACTGGAGTGGTTTGCCATTTCTTTCTCCAACTCATTTTACTGATGGGGAACTGAGGCAAACTGGGTTAAATGACTTGCCCAGGGTCATACAGCTAGTAAGTGTCTGAGGTCAGATTTGAACTCATGAAGAGGAGTCTTCTTGACTGTAGGCCCAGCATTTTATTCACTGTGCCACTTAGTTGCACATGTATGTAAGTATGTGTATGTGTATACACACACACACACACACACACACACACACCTACATAGATAGATCTATTTCTAGATTCCCTGTAATGAGAAAAATCATAGCTTTAGGATTCAGACTTGTAGGCCAATGCTGGCTGAGCAGGTACTAGAATTACTTGTAGAATGGAAGCTTCAATAAATGAGTGTATGTGGTATCAGAAGTAGGGCCAGTCAAAGAACCAATGTGTCAAGCTGAGCAGGACGAGACAGACCTTTGTCAATCTATAACCAAGTTAAATCAACAAGCATTTATTTAATACCTATTATGTGCCAGAGCTGATATTTTTTCAGGTTTTAAGGAAAGAAAAACAAAAGAAAATAAGAGGAAATGTATTGCTATATGTATACTGGCTTCCAAATTCCAGTCAAGAGTCAAATTAAGATTACCAAAGATTTGTTGAAGGATCTAGAGAAATGATCTCAAAACTCTTTTGATCATACAACCCTACCAGTGCAAAAAATAAAATAAAATCTAAGCATGCATTTAATGTGGCGTATATATGTGTATATACATATATAATTTTACACATGACATAAGTTAATTTATAATTTACATTATGCACTGTTGTATTAATGTAGTGTTCAATATAAAATGTACATAAGAGAAATTTAAGGAGGATTACAGATGAAATAAACAGTATTCAAACGTAATTTTAATCTTATGAATGGTACAAAAACCTTCTTTCCTCATTAAAATTAATATTTTTATTAAGAATGATATAATGGAATATATGAAATTATTTTTTAAATCCCAGGGTATGCCCTGTAGGATAGGGCAGATTTATAATTAATAATTGTCAGTTATTAATTCATTTGATGAATTAGTAATTAATTTGATCAATGTATCTAGACAAACAGATTTCTTAAAAAAATTTTTTTAAAAGATAGACACCACATAGCAAGGATAAGTATGCTGGGCTGGGAGAGAGGTAGGGTAGGCAAAAATTTTCCAGTGGCACCTACCCATCTGTTGATGTGAGTACCTGTATCATAGAGAGGTAATTGTACTTCTGGGTCAATATACAGTACAGAGCAGGGTTGGAATCGGGGTGTAAGCGGACGAGGACCAAGAAGGGAGATTAGGCTATAATAGTAGAAAGTAGGTTGGTTAAGCAGCAGATGAGCCTTACGATTGGCTATTGCAAGGAGGGGAGGCTTGTGGTCTATCTTCCTGCCCTACAATTGGTTGATCACACTAATTGTTATTGAAGTCATAATCATAGCCCTTTTGTTGGCATGCCCTCGCTCCCTCTTGAGATCACTATACTAGAAGAACTTAGAAAGTCAACTAAATAATCAGCTCCCAAGGTATTTTCTGAGCATTCATGGAGTAAGTGTGGACCTTAGTGGCTAACCTATACTGTGTGGCCTGGAAGACTGAGAAGCTTCCATTTTTGGCCCAATGCTACCTCTATGAAGTTGTGTCTGCTATGTGGTGCTTCAGAATTTTTCTTTTCAAGTTGTGTTAAGTAAACAGAGAGTGCTATGAGCAGGCAGCACAACAGACAGTTTTGTAATTTCAGTTATTTTGTATTTCCGTCCAAAATCTGTGATTTTATCAGTGTAGAGAACTTTTGGCGTGGAAAATCCCTTCACCAAGATGGAAAGGCAACTCATCTGTAACTCATCTTAGATAAGTTACTAGGCCACTTAGAAGTAAAATGATTTGCCTAGGGTCACACAGCTACATATCAGAAACAGAACTTGAAACCAGGTCTTTCTAACTCTAGAACTGATTCATCATAAATGTATATGTATAAACATGGGGGCATCTATGTAAGTTTCCCCCCCAATTATCTGGATTCCTTCTATTCTTGGCTTCATAGGTTTTATTTATACAAGAAAATTTCAATTTAAAATAATAAAAATTATCCATTTAACACTTGTACAGAAGCATTACATGAACAGAAATTCAAATTCTATTAAAAAGTGGTAATCATCAAAACAATCTGGCACTGGCTAAGAAACAGAGTAGTGGATCAGTGGAACAGATCAGGTACACAATACATAGCAGCAAGTGTGCACATTAATCTAGTGTTGGATAAACCCAAACATCCAAGCTTTTGGGGCAAGAACTCATCATCTGACAAAAATTGTTGGGAAAACTGGAAAGCAGTTTGGCAGAAACTAGCTATAGACCACCATCTCACATTGCATATCAAAATAAGGTCAAAATAGGTAAATGATATAGACGTGAAGGGTGATATCATAAGTAAATTAGGGGAGCACGGAAAAAGTTACCTGTCAGACCTATGGATAATAGAAAAATTTCTGAACAAAGAAAAGATAGAGAAGATCATGGGAAGTGAAATGGATAATTTTTTATTATAAAATTAAAAGTTTTTGCACCACAAAACCAATGGAGCCAAAATTATAAAGAAATCAGGAAACTGGTAAAAGCATTTTACAGCAAAATTCTCTGATAAAGACTTCATTTCTCAAATACGTAGCAAACTGAGCCAAATTTATACAAGTAAGAGTCATTCCCCAATTGGTAAATGGTCAAAGGATCGATATGAAGAGGCAATTTTCAGAAGAAGAAATCAAAGCTATCAAGAGTCACGTGAAAAAATGCTCTAAATCACTACTGGTTAGAGAAATGCTAATTAAAACAACTCTACCACCTTACTCCTAAAAGATTAGCTAACATGACAAAAATGACAAATTCTTGAGGCAATGTGGAAAACCAGGGATACTAATGCACTGCTAGTAGAGTTGTGAACTAGTCCAACTTTTCTGGAGAACAATCTGAAACTATGCCCAAAGGGTCATGAAACTCTGCACCCTTTGACTCACTATTAAGTCTATACTCCAAAGATCTCAAAGAAAAGGGAAAAGGACCCATATGTACAAACATATTTCTAACAGCTCTTTTTGTGGTGGCAAAGAACTGGAAATTGAGGGGATTCCCATCAACTGGGTAACAGATGAACAAGTTGTGGTATATGATTGTGATGGAATACTATTGCATAAGAAATGATGAGCAGGATAGTTTCAGAAAAACCTAGAAGACTTATATGAACTGATTCAAAGTGAAATGAGAAGAACCTGGAGAACATTGTACACAGTAAAAGCAGTACTATAATGATGATCAATTGTGAAAGACTTAGCCAGTCAGATCAAGACAATTCCAAAGAACCTAGGATGAAAAATGCTATCAGAGCAGAGCCAGAACTGATGAATTGAGTGTAGACTGGAGCATATTTTTTTCACTTTATTTTTCTTGCTTTCCCCCATCCCCAATATGGCTGACATGGAAATAGGTTTTGTATGACTTCTCATGTATAATTGATATCGTGTTACTTGGCTTCTTAATGGGTGGAGGGACTGGAGGGAAGGAGAGGATTTGGAACTCAAAATTTCAAGTGATGAATGTCCCCCCCCCAATAAAGGATTTTCCCCTTTAATGAGAGGGGGGCAAAAAAAGAAAGAAAAGCTGTTCAGCCTTAGCTAGTTAAGAGCCAGGAAACTCCCTGTGGCAGCTCTTTCCTCCCAGGGTCCTGTAAAATCATCTGGTGTGTCATCGAGATGTGTGCTGCACACTGTCAGTTGGTAATCCCTACTTAATCAGGGATTAAATGCACTAGCAAAAGAAATGAGGAATTTTTAGCATAAAGGACAAACAAGTACTGATTGTCATCAGTATATTCCAAGCACAGGGCTCACTTTAAGCCATATGGGAACACTATTACTGGAAATGGATTCCCTTACTACTAAAGAAGTTTCCTAAATAGAGTTTCCTTTTGATTCCTTAAACTAAAAATGGATTTATTCTTATGACGACGCTTTCATAGTTTCTCCTTGCTGTTGCCTTAAGCTTTAATCCTTTCAAATGTGTTCACATAGACACACGTGCAATTATATCGCCATATGATTAATTCCTTTACAAATGACAGCAGAAGTGCCCAATCTGCATAAAAACAAATACAAATCTGTTTAAAATAGAACATCCAAAAAAATTTTTAAAAATAGAATGTCCATTTATCATAAAGGTTTATCATACTTAGAAGAACAT